GTAAGAGTTCTTTCTGTGTTTTAGGTACTAGACCCTAATCAGATATATGATTTGCAAATACTTTCTCTCATTCTGTAAGTTACCTTGTCAGCTTTCTTGGCAATGCCCTTTGATGTACAGCGATCTTTAATTTTGATGAAATCTAGTTTCTCCATTTTCTCTTTTGTTTCCTGGGCTTTTGGTGCCATATCTAAGAATCCACTGCCAAATCCCAGATCATGAGGATTCACCTCTACATTTCCTTTTAAGAGTTTTATGGTGTTAGCTCCTAGATTTAGGTTGTTAATCAAATTTGAGTTAATTTTTGTATACGGTGTGAAGTAGGAGTCCAACTTCATTCTTCTGTATGTGCAAATCCAGTTGTCCCAGGACTATTTATTGAAGAGGTTGTTTGTTCCTGCACTGAATGGTCTTGGTATTCTTGTCAAAATGGCCATAGGTGTATGGATTTAACCCCCCAAAATCTTTTAAACACATTTGTGCTGGATAGAAAGATTCTAGGAACAACATCCTCTATGTGTGTCTGTTTGATGAAGCTCTTTTCATGTGCCTACAAATTGCTAAGCCCGGCAAAGAATAAGAGCAGTCCTTGCCTTTGGGGCCCCCAAATCTGGTAGTGATGGAATCAGTCACACACAGAGATCATCCCAATCACCTGTGGAAGTATTATGGTGGAGGTGAACATTGCGCACTGCGAGATCCTAGGAGATAAGCACTCAGCTCAGCGTGGGGGTTCAGGAAATCTTCCACGTAGAGTGGGTACCTGAACAGAATCTCAAAGGAAGAGTAAAAGTCCAATAACAAAAGGTGTGAATGGCAACGGAAAAAACAAGAACCGATGTGCATGAGCATCATTCGGCCAGATGACTCAGATCCCAGAGGGATCTTCACTTGAGGTCTACACAGAGCAAGTGAACCAGATGCTTACCCTTGTAGACAGTGTGGGGCTCCCTCACTGCCCTGGGCTGCTCTCCTACCAACACTGCCACACGTGCCCATTCCTTCCGGTCTCTTTGCCCTGTGCGCTGGAGTCTGACCCACAGAATTGAAGTTGATCGCCACTGGTCCCGCCTCCATGATTTCTGTCTTGGGCTTCAAAGGAACCTCCAAGCTGAGTCCTAAAGCAAGAGCACAGGCACCCTGCACAATTCTCAGGATCCTAATTAAGCCCCAGATGACAAAGACTCCCCATCTCTCAGGCGGATAAGCTGCATAAAGGGGGCTGCCCTCTGCCCTCCTCAACAGCCCAGCACAGGACGTGTAACCTCCATTCCCCAAAGCACATCCCGCAGGCTCTGGGCCGCTCACCACGCACCCGGGGCTGGGCGCAGCACTCAGGCCTCAAGCCCAGCAGTCAAGGGGTGCCTGCACTGGGACCCTGGGGGAGACCATCCACTGATGGGTCACAGAGTCCTCTAAAGATTATTTCAGGGTGTGGGTCCCACTCACCCCCTCACCCCAGCCCCTCTTACTGGATCACTAGGAATTTGGTCTTTTGGGAAAGGCAGAGCATCAGTGCTTGGAAGACCTTAGGGGTAGCTTGTCCTGGTGTACGAGACCCAGGGAGTCCACAGATGGACTTCAGGGGTCTGTGAATTTCTGAACGTGCAGACAGACATAATTCTGTACACTTTTCAGGAGGAAAAGTCCGTAGCTTTCAACAGAACTCAAAAAGGTCCATGACTCACAAGGTTGAGAAGCACTGGTTCGCTCTGAGCATGACAGGCGACTGGTTAGTGGTGGAGCAGCCACCGAACCCCCATGACCCCGAGGCACTATTCCTAGTACCTACAGTGATGACAGCAGTGACATCAGAAGGAGGCATTTGGGCAGGAAGCCCGCCATACTCCTGGGTTCTTGTGCTTCCCGAGGTTTATTATATCCTGACAGACACAGATTTCACACCTTAATACTTAAAAGGCACAGTGAGGTCAATGGAGGTGGCAGCTTGGGACCAGAGGCCCTGCCCTTACAAGACCCCACCTCGTGGAGGACTGCAGGGGAAAGTATCTCTGGTCACACCCTTACCATAAGACTGATCAGAAAGCTGACAAGAGGGCTGAATTCTGCTGGCCAAAGCTCTACTTCCAACTTCAGAAAATCTGAGACCTCCCACCTTCCCTCCACCCCCCAAAACAAGCCCACAAAACCTGTGCCCAGACCCATTGTGAGGTATGATTTAAATTCTGTCTCCAGGAGTCTATATGCCCACCTTTCTAGTTATTTGATTAAATGCCTCCCCCTCCAGGAAGCCTTCCTTGCTTAGCTTCTCCATTCCATCATTTCTCAGCACTGCCGCACTGGGCTGCCCTTCCCTGATTTGTATGAGTGTGTGGCTTTGCATACTTGTCCATTTCTCCTATCAGGCTAAGATCACCTCCAGAGCAGCCTCCATGCTCTGCTCTGCCTCTTGGCTCCCCGAAAGGCTTGTGCACATGTTCTGGGTGGGGCACATCATAATCAGGGGTTGGGCAATTGGGAGAGATTGACACATTGACAGGATCGCACCTCTGACATTACTCCAGGGCAGTTTATTGAATACACAGCAGAAATTCAGAGTTCTTCACTTAAGCAAAGGAGGAACTGGGTGTTGCCATTCTTAGAAACATTTACAACAAGAGCTAGGACTTCTGGACTGGGCGGTACCACCAGAGACAGATTAAATTCCCTTCACTGAACACAGCTTCTGGCAACAGGAATTGAGAATCAGAAGCTTCTACAGGACACAGTCCCAGAGAGAGGCCCAAAGAGAAACCACATACCCACTAACAGAAAGGCAACCTAAGTCAGCTACCCTCATCAGAAGAACCATGAATCTGACATTCCCTTTGTTAAAGAGGCGCGAGTGTGCCATGGGAAGCACACAGACCCTGGAGTCGGCCCTACCTGGGCTCAACTCCTGACCCTGGCACACAGTGAGTGATGGGGGCAAGCTCTGCAGCCTCTCAGAGGCTGGAGCTTCTCATCTGTCCCAAGGATGCTGATTGCATCCACTTTGCAGGATTGGGTGAGAATTAGAGGCAATGGAAACAGGGAGCCTGGCATGTAATGGGTGCTTAACACAGAGGAGCAGCTATCACCTCTTGGTTGCACATCTCCGGGTTCACCGGAAGTAAGCCTGTGCACCACTGCTGACTCCACCGCAGCACAGAACGAAACTACCCCGACCCCCCTGCCCCACCCCTCCTTCTCCCTGTCCTCCCTCCTCTTCTCTCTCTCCAGGGATGATCACAGCTTCCCAGGGCCAAGGAGGTAATTACAGCCTGTGCCCCAAAGCCTCCTACCAGCTGAAGGCAGCAGGGGAGAGGGGCAGTCACAAAGTCCGCACGGGACCAGAGGAAATGGGGAGGTGATGGCGCCAATCAGAACTTGACAGGGAGACAAGCCATGGTGTGTGCAGGTGGCCGAGCGGTCCCAGGACTCGGAGGGAGGGTGGGCGTGGCAGACATCTTCAGGCAGGGCGGCAGCAGGAGCGTCTCTTCTCCCAGGTGCTGAGGTGAGTGGGGACTTGGGGCTTACGGAGCGGCTTTCCTGGCCGGGCCGGTGACTGGGGCGCTTTCGCCTTGGGAGTCCTCGGGGTCTCCCGCTCGTGCTCCTTTGGCCCTGGTCTGCCCGCCTCGGGTACTGCCGGAGCTGCCCACCGTGGCGCTGGCCCCGAGGTTGGCGCTCGCCGAGGAGCCAGGGTGGTAGCCAAAGCCGCTGGTACTGCTGCTGCTGACAGCTGGGGAGGGAGAGCCAAGAACAGGGGAAGGAGGGGAGCAGTGTCAGTCAGTGAGCCACCCGCCTCATCCCACAGCAGCCCTCAGCAGTCAAGAAACACCACAAAGGTGGACCGAGACCCAGTTACATGGTCGGCTCTGTGAGATGAGGACCACACAGGACAGACACGGTCTCTGCCCTCCTAGAGATTCTAAAGCCATCTGGCTCCCAAGTCCAAGATGACGATGGGCCCAGGAGAAAAACAGGAAAGAAATGGTGTGTGCATGACCTCAGGCACTGCTTCCCTGGAACAAAAGGCAAATGGGCTTCCTTTGAAGTCAGAGAACCTTCACAAGACAGTGCCAGAAGCTTCTGAATGGGTGGAGACAATGAGTGGAGGTGGCATCACCTTTTCCTAGGGTCCCCAGCTTTCCCATCTAGCTGGGATCCCCAACCCAACCTGCTTCCAGGCATACTCACAGATGCTCACAGAGGAAGGATTCTCACCAGACATCCTGTAATTCCAAAAGTTAGAGAAAGATAAATCCACAGGGAAGTGTCTAGATTCTGCTAAATATTATGGGCTTCTGCTTTTATATGCCTATCATTTGAATTCTCCTTCCAACAATCCACAAGATGGAGATTATAATCCCCATTTTATGGATGAGCTAATAGAGGCACAGAGACCAGGACCATACAGCTGGCATATGGCAAAGCCAGTCATGAAACTGAGATCCATCTGACCCCACTGGCTCTTTTCGCTCCACTACCCAACCTCCTGTGCTTCATGGTTCGTGTCTGACATCCCCTTGTAGGAAGTTGCAACTGAGCTCAACAGTCAAAGCATCCCTTCCGTGTTCATGTCACCAGCACTGCTGTCTTTCACTTTTTTGCCTCCCAAATGGCCCCTCAGCCCATTGGAGAGCCACCTACAGCCCATTCTCCCTTGGCACCCAGCATTCCCCTTCCCCTACCCCCTCACCAGCACTCCTCGCCCTCCAGCAGCTTGCGATAGGTGGCGATCTCCATGTCCAGGGCCAGCTTCAGGCTCATGAGCTCCTGGTACTCCTTCAGCAGCCGGGCCATCTCCTCCTTGCCCTGGAGCAGGGCGGCCTCCAGCTCATCCAGCTTGGCCCGGGCATCCTTCAGGGCATTGTCCCCCCGCTGCTCGGCGTTGGCGATGGCTGTCTCCAGGTTGGAACACTAAAAAGCAAAGAATGAGGAGATCATCGGAACATAAAATAATTTTTAGATCTTATAGGTTAGGTAGCAGAATCTCCATGGAGGGCCCCATTGGAGGCCACCAATGACTGTAGGTTCCAAGTCTGCCAGGTCCTGGAGAACCACACTGAGATCCCAGCCAGGACGCCTCCAAGGATCAGACAGCACGGTGAGGCACCACTATGGTTGGATTCCTGCCTGTAGGGCATCTTGCAGAGGGGACACCTCCTAATCATTAGCACCAAGAGTGAGTGGCTCTGGACTGTTCCAGCACTCTGCAGGGACGGTCTGTCTAAATGCTCCTCAGGTCTGGTCTAACGAGTAAGGGAGGTTTCCCTTAGAGCAGGAGGTTAAGGGTCTGAAATTATACCCACAACCTCAGACAGAGCCTTTGGGTTCTAACGAGCATCTAGCAGCACTGGGATGGCAAGTACCAACCAGATGGCAAGTAAGACAGGACCCCCTAGGTGGAAAGGCAATGCTCCACAGCGCAGGGCAGGGGACCCAAGACAGCTGCATCTGCGGGCTTGCTCACTGGCCACCAGGACCAGGAGGGCAGGAACTTAACGTGGTCCCAGACGGACGCCCCACACCCTGCACATATGTTGAGTGTCCAGTGGGAGAAGGAGGCGTGGGGCCCAACCTCAGAGGGGCACAACTGAAGGGGATGTGGGGCAGGTTGGTTGTACCCAAAGTCTGAGAAAGATGGAAAAAAGAAAGAGGAAGTCTGAAGCCTAACCCTGGCTCTGTTAATAACCAGCTGGGGACCCTGGGCAAGTCCCTTTCCTTCTCCAGCCCAGTTTCCTAATCTAAACAGTCAGAGTCAGATGAAATAAGCTTGAGGCCCCCCCAGTTCTGAGCAGGGTGCCAGCTCCGACCGCAGGGGTGGGGAAGAGGGGCTGTGGGTGGCCCAGGGGTTCCCAAGCCAGGAGGGGGAGATTTGCTTTTTGCTAAGGGAGGGCTCCAGTTTCTCCATCACAGAGAGTGAAACAGAGCCTCGGTGGTCTCCGCGGGGTGGCTGCGCACCTGCTTCTTCACATTTGCTATCTCACACCGGATCCTCTGGATGAGCCGGTTCAGCTCCGACATCTCGTTCTTGGTGTGTTTGAGGTCATCACCATGCCAACCGGCTGCCTGCTGCAGCTGCTGGATCTGGTTTCCCAGAAACAGGAAGTGGGTGAGGAGACAGGTGTTCCTCCCACTCCCACCCACCCGAGGCAGGGGAAGGGTCCTGATCAAATACTTCCACCAGCGGAACGAGCCGGGGAGGTGGCCCTGGAGCAGGTCATGGAGCCAGGATCTGGGCATCCTTCCAGCTGTTTGGTGCTGATTCTGCCCAAGAAACCCACCTGTCTCTCTATGTAGAACCTATTTTCTGGGCCTACCCTCCTTTCTCATCTCCCTGCCTACAGTCTTTCCTACGGTGGATCAAGGGAAGAAGCAACTCACATTTATTGAACACTTCTGAAAACATTAGAAGAATTCTGACTCGCTCGACTGATTTAACACCTCTTCACAGAGGCATATTTTAAAGACCAAGTTCTGCTCTAAGTACTGGAGAGACAGCAGTGGGCAAGATAGATGAGGTCTCTGGGCCCATGAAATTTCCATCCTCCTGTAGCTCTTTCTTGGAGGGTCCAGGCCAAGGACCTCATGTACCCTAGAGGGATTGTCGGCTCAGGACTTATAGCTCAGATCTTCCCCTCTCCCTGGACCAGTCCTCCAGAGGAGAAGGGGATAACACAGCCATAGACAGGGGACCAAGGAAGCTGTGATCCTTGCTGTTGGTGGGATTTAATGGCCATGTCAAGGAAGGTGTGAGGAGCAGAGCAGGTGTGAAGAGCAGAGCAGGTGTGAAGCCCTGGAGAGTGCCCACATAAAGGGTCTGCTCAGTGACAGCCCAGAAGTGTTTTACTTCAATGGGTAACTCCTGTTCCCCAGAAGACTCCTAGAATTCCATTTTTCCCTCTTGGAAGTCCTCCCATGCTGGTCAGAGGAAAGCTCACAGCATCCTTGTCTTCACTCCCTGCCCCACCCCAGGTCACAGCCTTTCGCCTCCATATTTGGTACTCTCCTTCTGCCCATGGTGACATGACCCATTCCCTGTTTTACAGCAGGAACACCTCCCTTTTTTCCTCCATTGGAAGATTGCCTGTCCCTTCTGTTGGAAATGCCCATCTGTACCAGTTTTATGATTTATCTTTGATACCAGTCTCTGCCAAGAATCCTTTTTGAGCAGAATGTCGTTAAAGCATTGATTATAACCCTTCTTTCATTCAACACATCTACTTAGGGATCTCTCACACTCACTGGTGGAGGAGTCCTGTCCCAGGAAAGGAGGGCTGGTGGAGGAGGGAGACCCACCCGGTGCCCACCTTGGTCTGGTACAGCGCCTCGGCCTCGGCCTTGCTCTTCAGGGCGATCTCCTCGTACTGGGCGCAGACCTCGGCGATGATGCTGTCCAGGTCTAGGTCCCGGTTGTTGTCCATGGACAGGATGACGGAGGTCTCACTGGTGTGAGTCTGGATCTGGCCCATCTCCTGAGTTGAGAGGTGAGGACAGAGTCAAGGTCTCCCCACCTCCTTTCTCTGCCCCTCAGTCTTCTGGGCCTGTGACCACAGGCAGAATTGGCCAAAGTGGAGGAAAGAAGTGCCTGCTGGAGATCTGTCTGTCAGAGCTGAGGAAGAGGCTCACACGGCAGGATACACCCCAAATGGGCAGCAGGCCGTGGGACGCATTGCCTACAATTCACGGAATCAAGAATCTGTGCTTTAGCAGGATGTCATGGTTCATTCTTTCCTGCCTGCGGGCAAGGTCATTAACGTGGCCCCGAGAGGATTGTCTCCTGTGTGTATGGCCTCTGGGGGCCAGAACCCTACACTCCCATGGTCTCCTAGTGCACAATTTTGCACGCTACCATCAAACCATCTTTCATTCTCTTTATCCTAAACCCCTCCTGCTGGCATCTCCCTGGAAGAGCCAGGTGAAGCCCTCAGATGGAAAGGGCAGGGTGTGGGAGGGGTAGGAGTGTCCTCACCGCATCGTACAGGCACTTGAGGAACTTGATATCTTTGTCCAGAGAGTCCACTTTGGCCTGAAGCTCCATCTTGGCTGTGTAGGCTGCATCTGCATCCTGCCAAGAGGCACCCAGAACCATCAGTCAATACAATCCTCATCCCATCAGCTTGCCTGCCCCTGCTCCCAGAGCTATCTGATTTCCTAATTTTTGCACACAGAAGGAAGCATGTTGATGAATACAATCCCTCAATACTGCTTTTCTCTTAGATTCACTGCATCTTTGGGAATAGGGAAAGAAGACCAGCTCTTCCTCTGTTACACCTAGAGAAAACAAAGCTCAGAGAGGTAGAGTGAGTTTCCTCAAGTCACACAGGAAGGTCAAGCTGGACCAGAGTTTCCTGATTCCCAGACCAGAATTCTCTCCTGTCTGTCACTATCCATTTCCTGGGTGTGTGTCCTGCCTTTCCAACTTCTAGAGGCCGAAATATGACTCCCTCCCCTTTTACGTACCAGCCCCTCCCCAGGAGACGGGGGCTGGAGTCCTGAGCAGGGCTGGTTAGGATGGGGGTACAAGAGAGACCGAAACCCATAGGCTCTTTTCTCCCTTACCTTCTTGAGCACCACAAACTCATTCTCAGCTGCTGTGCGCCGATTAATCTCCACCTCGTACCTGTCGGCAAGGAGAGAAGATAGCAGAGGCCTCTGCCCCTTCGGCCAAGTGACCACCTCTTCCCCCTGGCCAGGCAAGTGCTCGAGATTCAGGGTCTCGCAGGACCTCCTGGAGGTGAGCACTGCAGAGGCCGTTGATGGCCATCCTCTGTCCCTGACTTGCCTCATTTCCATCCCACTCTCTGGATCCTAGGACAACATGCAAATGCCTCAAACTGGCCACTGAACCAATCAGTGGATCAACAAGCATAGAACTCCCTCCTATCACCCAGATAGGAAGTCCTCTCCAGACAGGTGGGGTCCTTCTCCCGCAGCCAGAGGGGGGCTGTGAGCCCCTGACCCTGGTGCTCGCTCCCCTCCCAATAAGCGGCACAGAGATTGAGTGAGTGCAGGAGCCCTGGGACCATGACCCATGACCTTTGGTGGTCCCCGCTCACCTCTTCTTGTAGTCCTCCACCACGTCCCGCACGTTCCCCAGCTCCGAGTCCAGCCTCACCCTGTCCCCGGACAGCGCCTCCAGCTGCTTCCGCAGGTTGCCGATGTAGCGCTCGAGGATGGGCTCCAGGTGGTTCTTGCAGTTGCTCAGGTCCAGCTGCTGCAGCAGCGCCCACTTGGTCTCCAGCACCTGGTTCTGCTGCTCCAGGAACCGCACCTGGTACCACAGTGGATGATGCCGTGTCCTGTGGACAAACACCACTACCTCCCCAGGTAATACAGATTTTTCTAAAGTTGTTGGCTCCAGTCCTGACTCTCTACTCACGGAATTCCAGGCAAACTAGATCCTTTACAAGTGCTCATTCCATAACTTTTTGGACAAAACCAATCACTGAAAACTCACTGAAGACTGAGACTCCACACATTCTTCTCTTGCCTGACCCAGAGATACTTCCTAAGTCTCAGCTAGGTGTTTCTTCTGCACCATGAGCCCTTCCCTCTGAATAGTGCTGATTCTGTCAGCCTTTCATCTTCTTTAAAGAGCTAGAGATGCATGCAGCTGCCCTCCGGAGTTCCATGGCTTCTTTCTCAAGGTAGGGCTACCCTTTGGCCAATTTCCCATCCTTCACTGTAAAATCCCCAAAGAAAGCAACACATTCACTTCTTCCTCTGTGCTACCCAGCTCACAGTTCTGTTCTTCCTGTTCTGATCAGGGAGCCCTTCCTGAGGTCCAGCATCAACCTTTCCACCCACAGTGCCCTGGGCACTCCCAGGCAGCAAGGAATCACTCACATCTCACCAGACCGTCTTATCCTTCTGTGAGACCCACCTTGTCAATGAAGGAGGCAAACTTGTTGTTCAGCGCCTTGATCTGCTCCCGCTCCTGCGCCCGCACTTTCTGGATCTCGGGGTCCAGCTCCACGTTGAGCGGGGCCAGGAGGCTCTTGTTGACGGTGACCTGGTGGATGCCCCCAGGTGGGCACATGGATGAGCACACAGGCCCCAGGACCACACTGCCAAACATGCTGCCAGCAAAGCCCCTGGCCTGGCCCTCTCCGTACCCAGAGCCAAGCCCGAAGCTGTAACCTCCAGTCCAAACACCGCCACCAGCCACGCTGAGGGAACTACACGGATTCCCTTTGAGACCATAGAGGCTTCGACTGCCAAAGCCAGCCCCTGCTCCTTTGCCAGCTGCACGGTAAGAAGGCGCACTGCCCACCGCCTTCCTCAGCACCACTGCCGAGCGCCCACTGAAGCCACCCTTGTCGCCACGAGACTTGATGCTCAGTTGCTGGCTCATGGTGGCAAAGATGGAGTTGATGGAATTGGAGAAATACAGTCACCAATGGAGAGAGAACGCTCGATGGGGCGCCCGGAGCGCCGCTTCCTTTTATCCCGTCCATCCCTGGACGCCGGAAAGGGCGTCCCTCCACTATCTCCTTGCCTCCTGCTGAAGGGCCCGGGGCCGTGGGCCATTTGTGGAATGCAGCTCTCCAAGCCCTATGCAGCAACAAAGTGCTTTGACGGCGAGCAGGATGTGCTGCCCTTGCAGACCGGAGCGGTCTAATCAGGCATTTATCTGCGCTCCTAATTAGGGGCCTGGAGAGTTATCCCCTTCAGAGATCGCCTACTTTTATTTTTCCAGGGCTGCGTCTTTCTTGCTTATCTATTAGCAAGAAGCAGGGGAAATGCCTGCCTTTGTCCAAAGAGGGCTTATCAGAAAACCCCAGCTCTCCTCCCCGGAGAACCCAGCTCCCTAGTATCTGGTCTGGTTGAGGAACTGGGGTGTTAGCGCTGGAGAAGAGGAGACTCAGAAAGGACACAATGGCTGTCTTCAAAGATCTAGATCCAAGAAGGAAGTTCCAGGGTTCATTGACTGGGTCTGTAAAGACTACAGCTGCCTAGCAATGGAACAGAGCCAAGGGAGAGGGTGGAATGGCCACATGGGGTCTGCATGCCCCCCCAGCAGGGGACCATCGGGGCTTTCTGTACTGGGCAGGACCTGGGTGGCCGTCACCTTGACATTGCTTTGTCAATGGTGAGAAACTTTTCAGGCAGCCACCACTCTCTGCAGCTGACTTTTTTCTCCTGGACGAGGTTATCTGCCCCTTCCAAGGAGGTCGGGCCATGCAGCGTTCCCAGGAGCTGGGACGTTGACTCTCCCGGGGGAGAACATCTCCCCCCAGCTCCCTAGGGAAACACTCTAAGCCCAGGAACCAAGGTACAGGAGCCCCTAAGTCTCACTTCTGGGTTCAGGGTGGCTGTTCTGTCACTTTCTTGACCGCTTTAGGAAGCCACTTAGTTTGGGGACAGGCAAAACAAGTCCTTTAGCTCAGATCGTCCTGGTGAGGTGAAATGTTAAAAAATCATTTCAAAAACAGACATCTGCTTGTTCTGACCACTCTGGGTAACTAAATTCGGGAGGTTTGACCCACTGGACTGGCCAATGATAGTAGACAACCGTTCCCCTCCTGGGAGGGGAGGAGGGGGCCATGAGCTGGGCAGAGGGGATGAGCGTTTGCCTGGAAACTGCATCTGAGGGTTTCCTGTCCAGTGTTCTCCCTACAGCCCCAGAGGCAGCAAGAAAACTCCTCCAGGGGCCATGTCTCCCAGCCTTCCCAGCAAGGCCTACTGTAGGGCAGGCGAGGGTGTAAACTGAAGTGGTTTCTTACGGTTTTCTAAGCCAGATCACAAGTGCTATTGAATGAATGTCAGCAAACGATGAAAACCCTTGACGACAGTGACTAACATCAGGTCCCAGCCTCCAAGGAGCCTGCAGAGCAGTGAGCAGAATCTACACAAAGAACTCAATCCCAGGTCTAAGCTGTAGACTAACAGATGATTGTTGGGAACAAAGGATCAGAGGTGTGCTGAGGAGGAGAGACTAACTCTGATGGGGTTTTAGGGACATCCAGACGGCTTATCCCCCAACGACACTCATGGCAGGGGCTGGCGGGCTAGGCGCTCTCCGGCAGCGGGGGGTGAAGTATGACTTGCAGTCATGGTAGCAATGGTGGCAGCGCCAGTATCCACTGTGACAGTAGTGACAGTGGCAACAAAGAGTCAGCTTTGATTGCTCATGTCGGGTGTGCCAGGCCTTGTGCTGAGCACTGCCGGGATTTCTAATTTAGTCCTCTTGTCACTAATGTCACTTTACAGTTGAAGAAACTGAGGCTGAGAGGCATTAAGGAGCTTGCCCAAGCTCACTCGGCTAGCAAATCAGAGCTGGGACTGGAAAGCCAGTGTGTCTGGCTTCAAAGTCCACATCCCTAACCATCACCATGTCGTTCATTCTGTGATGGAGGTAAGAGTTACGGCCATGGATGCAAAGACTGTCTGATGCAGGAGGCAGGCGCGGCAGTCACGGGCTGAGTCCCTGTGCTCACGTTTCCATCTGTTGTTGAGATGAGCTGATGACAGGAGGAGGAGAGGAAGTTGCCTCTGAACTGGGGACTTATGTAAAGTGGTTGCTCTAGACAAAACAGCAGTCGGGTTCAGAGAGAAAGGCAGTCAAAACGGGGATGGGCAGAGGGAGAAAAACTCACTTGGATGGGGGGCTATTTTAGTCTAGAATCCCCAGTAGCTGGGCCTTCACTGAGGGGCCCCAAAGGGGAAATCCGCATGGTTCTGCTGATCGGAGTCTCCTGGACCAAGTCTGCACCTCGCTGCCTGGCTGAGTGTGAGCCCCAGTCTGCTAGGGGAGCCAGACCCCTTAGCGGGGACATCCGCAGAAGAGCATTTACAGGTAAGGCATGAGGCTGGATCTTCCAGGCTGGAGAAGACTTAGAGTAAATAGAAAGCAGAGTGTCAGGTGCCCAGGAAAAGCTACAGAAGGAGCTGAGCCCATCCATCCTGGGGAGAGCCAGGGCCAGGGCTGGGGGTCCTGGTGCTCTCTGACCTCAGTCTGTGAGCACTCAGTGAATGCCTTGGTGTGTCTGGCCCTGCACTGGGCTGGCCAGTAAGGGTCTAGTGATGGTGATGATGGTGATGGCTGTGGTGGTGGTGGCGGTGACACTGAAGCAAGAAGAGGAGACTGAGGGGGATTTCCAGACAGCAGTGTGACCATGACCAACACAGATACCCCTCCTAGAGCATTTAATTGCAGAAAATTGCCTTTGGCCTGCACAGTAGGATCTCTGACAGTTCCAGTCTTCACGGTGTTAGCTACCCTTTAATTAGTCATCACACTCCACACCCCGGTCATTGAGTTCATTGGACTAATGAGTGTTCCAAGGCTTGAAGAGATAGGTTCACTCAATAAGTAGAAAATTGAGCGCTACTACGTGAATTGCTCTATGCTAGACATGGAGAGAGAAACATCTAAGACACTCCCCTTCTTCCTAAAATGTTGAAATCGAACCAGAGGAGGCAAAATATAAGTATGTGAAAGTTGTTTTGCTGTTGTTATTGCTACGATTTAACTCTATGTGCTTAAATGAATGACTCAGACAAGCTGTTACTGAAATTCTGATTTTATTTAAAAATCAGAATAAAATACACTGGGCTCTCTGAGGTAGGGGTTGGGAAGTGGAGGGTGGGCCAGATTGGACAGGTACACAGAGCATCCCAGAGGTGGTGAGCAGCCCAGGTGGACTGGAGGGGAAGATTTGACTTGGAGAGCAGAGGTTGACGGGAGAAAGATGGTGGAGTGGGCCAAGACAGTGGCCTCCCTGCAGACACTGCGGAATCACGTGAGGGTCCTCCAGGGAAGAAACTTCACAGAGCCTGTGCTCTAGATGAAAGAGCAGGCTCTGTGTTGCATGAGGAGAACTGTGGGGGAGGCAGGTACCTGAGGGAGCCCCGAGCTACCTGAGCCCCTGTGCACCATAATCTCCCGCCATCTTGGTTAAGGATATCCATGGAGGCAAAGAGTCCCACTCTGCACACCACACTGGAGGTAAATAAAAAGCAGTACCATGGATAATGCCAAATGAACATAACTGACGTCACGTCTGCTTAGTTTGAGAACGGATACCAAAGTCTTTTCTCTCTAGTCCATTGGTCTTCTGACTCTTCCTGGACACAGTCAAGGGAACCAGCATTCTGTAGATCAAGGTCATTAATGGACAGAAGTTTGAAGGATTCTTGAAGGAAGCTTGAAGGGTACTAAGACTTGGGGGTAAATCATGGCACTTTAGAAAGGGAAAGGACCCGAAACCTGAGTTGTCTGATTTCCCTTTGACAATGAGCTCAGAGCAGAAACCTCATACTCTCAGCCTGTCTGAACCAGTTTGAAAGGAGCCTGTTTTTCCATCCTTGTCAAAAGTTAGCTAGCCTAAACAAGAGATTTCACCTGCTCTTCCCCCCTCTCTCTATGAAATTCTCTGAGTCCTGGGTTATCCAGTTCAACAGCAGGTGGGACATGCACCTGAAATCTGAGGCCAGGACACATGGCTGGGGGCACAGCGGGTGGGAGAGGATGTGCAGAGACTGAAGCAGAAAGTTCAGTGTTTGTAAGAAGGGAGAGGGGCAGCCTGGGCACAGAAGATGAGGGCAAGCACCCCAGACCAAGAGCAGCTAAATACTGTTTTGTAGGGTGACCAACTAGCCTACTTTGCCTGGGACTGAGGGGTTTTCCAAGATATGAGACTTTCCAGGCTACAAGCTGGACAGTTCTGGAGAACCTGGATGGCTGATCACGTTAACATCACCCACCATACTGCAGAGTAGAAAGTCCCAAATTCTCCAGTAGCTTATGGGCGTCGCTGAAGTAACATCGCTCCAAGTAAAACTTAAATACTCAAGCCATTCCCTGGTCTCTCTCCATCCCTACTAGTCATTTCCTCCCATCCCCAACACACGTGTGAACACGAACTCTCCAGATTATTAAGAAAACAGGGAGCCGGATGCCATCCATCAGATTCACTTCCACTCTCATTTATTCAAGTCCCGCTCTGTTACAAGGCGCCACGCTGGGTGAAAACGCAGAAGGGCAGTCAGCATGGTCAAAATTTCCACTTCTTGGTGCCACGTCAGTGTAGAAGACATTGTGTAATAAGCCTCTATTTATTAAAACTTAGCAGGGGATATTTAGTGACTGGAAACCTAACGATGGTTCCCTTATCACCACTGGCCTCAAAGAACTTTCTACTGGCCCTTCACGGCACGTGTCCGCAAGCCCCATCTCTGAGTCTCGGGCCTTCCCCACGTTCTCCCCTCAGCATCAGCATCTCTTCCTTTCTCCCTGCTGCGGTCCAGCTCCTGAAGGGCCTGACCAGCCTGCCCTCCTCAAGAGACAAACGTCAGCACAGTTTAGCCAAGTGGCTGCAGGGCCCTTACACAGCGCCTTTGTGCCAGTTACAAAAAGGCGCCTCTTCTGGGCAGATGCAGCCCTTTGCCGGGGTGTACAGCTGGATTTCAGCACCCATCCTGCCCCCTTGCCAGGC